GGGGGCTCTCGGGGGGCTGCGGGAACGGCCCGCCCGGTGCTCCCGGCGCGTGGGAGGCCGCGCGGGGCCCGTGGGAGGCCGTGGGGGGGGGGGGAGGTTCCCGGTGCTCTCGTTTCACCACGGGTGGGAAGCTGTGGTCGATTCCCGGGTGGATCCCCGGTGGTCCCGGGTGGATCCCGGGTGGTCCCCGTTCCCGGTGGGTTTCCCGGGGTGGGGGGGGGGTGGTCCATGGTGCTGTTTCCCGGTGGGTTTCCCGGTCGGGGCGGTTCCCCCCGGGGCTCGGGCGGGGCCGGGGCGGGGCCGTGCCGGGACAGGCCAGGACAGGCCGGCAGGGGCTGTAACGGAGCAGCCCCGGCCCCGCCGCGGCGGCGCCGAACGCGGCCCCTCCCGGCGGCCACCGGCGGGCCTGGAGCCCCTCCCGGCGCTGGGAAACACCGGGGGGGTGGAACAACCCCGGGTGGGGGTGGAACAACCCCGGGTGGGGGGGATCCGGTCACTCCTGACAAGGTTTTGGGGCTGGGGGTGCTGAGAGAGGGGGGTCGGACCCTCCTCCCCCTTGGGGAGGGGGTTTGGTTTGGGATGGACCCTCCTGAAAGCCCCGGGGGGGGGGGGGTCAGACCCTCTGAGGGGCTCCAGACCCTTCCCAAGGGGGGGGTCCCACAGCGCTGTCACCCCTTGGACCCCCCTTTTTGGGGGGTGGGGAAGGAGGAGGACCCAGCGGGGGATCCCCCACCTGACGGTGTCTCCTGTTTCTGGGGGGATCAGGAGCTGGGATGTTTGAATCCCGGGATCAGGAGCTGGGATGTTTGAATCCCCAGGATCAGGAGCTGGGATGTTTGAATCCCGGGATCAGGAGCTGGGATTTTTGAATCCTGGGATCAGGAGCTGGGATATTTGAATCCTGGGATCAGGAGCTGGGATTTTTTAACCCTGGGATCAGGAGCTGGGATTTTTGAATCCCGGGATCAGGAGCTGGGATGTTTGAATCCCGGGATCAGGAGCTGGGATGTTTGAATCCCGGGATCAGGAGCTGGGATATTTGAATCCCGGGATCAGGAGCTGGGATTTTTTTAATCCCCTCCCCTTTTTTCTTCCCCTCCCCTCCCCGGCCCATCTGGGAGTTGTGTGTTTTGGCAGCAGAGCCCGTCTGGGAACGGGAGACAAACTGAGCTGGGCTTGTTGTGTCTGTCTGAGGGCCCTGCCCGGGCTCCTTCCCGGGCTCCAGGCGGGCCGGGGATCCCCCGGGAAGGGGGAGAATCCCTGGGGATGGGCAGGACCCCCTCACACCCCTCTCCTCTGTGCCCCCCAGCTGGCAGGAGGGAGAAGATGAAAGCAGGCTGCAGCATCGTGGACAAACCCGAGGGAGGAGGAGGTAAGGGAGGCCCAAAGCCGAGTTTTCCTTGTTTTTCCCGGATAAAACCGCTCCAGGAGGGTTAATTCTTCCTCTCCTAAAATCTTCCCTTGGCTGGGGTGGGATTCCCTTGGTGGGTCTCCAGTGCTGGGTTGAAAAGCGTTATTATTATATTAATTATTATTATTATTATTTTTATTATGATTATTGTTATTTCGGGCTCCTCACGCCTCCCATCCCACTCGTTTTTTGGGGGGGGATTTTTTTAGGGATTCTCCAAGAAAATTGGGGGCTGAGAGGAGCAAGGAATGAGCAGCCAGAGGTGGAGAGCTGGATCTCTCCCCACCCTGGAATTAAACCAAGTGGAATTAGACCTGGAATCTCGGCAGTATCCCCACAAATCCCTCACCTGAGAGGGCATTGGGAATATCGGGAATATCCATGGAAATCCTTGGTCTGAGGGGGGGGAATCTCATCAGTCCATGGAAATCTCTCATCAATCCATAGAAATCCTTTAGATATCCATAGAAATCAAATATCCCTACAGATTTCTCACCTAAGAGGGAGGATCTCATCAATCCATGGAAATAGCTCAGATATCCATAGAAATCTCTCATCCATCCATAGAAATCCCTCAAATATCCATAGAAATCTCCCATCAATCCATGGAAATCCCTTAGATATCCATAGAAATTCCTCAAATACCCTTACAAATTTCTCATCTGGGAGAGATCCCATCAGTGCATGGAAATCTCCCATCAATCCATGGAAATCTCCCATCAGTCCATGGAAATCTCTCGTCAATCCATGGGAATCTCCCGTCAATCCATGGAAATCTCCCATCAATCCATGGAAATCTCCCGTCAATCCATGGAAATCTCCCGTCAATCCATGGAAATCTCCCGTCAATCCATGGAAATCTCCCATCAATCCATGGAAATCTCCCGTCAATCCATGGAAATCTCCCATCAATCCATGGAAATCTCCCATCAATCCATGGGAATCTCCCGTCAATCCATGGAAATCTCCCGTCAATCCATGGAAATCTCCCGTCAATCCATGGAAATCTCCCGTCAATCCATGGAAATCTCTCGTCAATCCACACAAATCTCTCATCAATCCATAGAACTGTCATCAATCCATAGAAACCCCTCAGATACCCCTACAGATTCCTCCCCTGAGGCGTTGGAGGGGATCTCCTCAACCTTTGAAAACTCCTCTTACCCCTGGAATATTTCCTGGAATCGCAACCCCCCCAGATCAGACCCCCCACCCCCCATAACCCACCCCCCTCCTCACCTCCCTCTCTTCCCCCCCTCCTCAAAAAGGCTACCATTTCCCGGAGTGGGCCTACAAGACCGAGTCCAGCCCTGGCTCCAGGCAGATCCAGCTGTGGCACTTCATCCTGGAGCTGCTGCAGAAGGAGGAATTCCGCCACGTCATCGCCTGGCAGCAGGGCGAGTACGGCGAGTTCGTCATCAAGGACCCCGACGAGGTGGCCCGGCTGTGGGGCAGGAGGAAGTGCAAGCCCCAGATGAACTATGACAAGCTCAGCAGGGCCCTCAGGTAAATGAGGGATGGGAATCGGGGTGGAAAAGGAGCCCCCCCCCTCATCCTCTCCCTCCCACCCTCCCCCAGCGGATTATGGGGGGGGAAGTTTGGGTGAGATTTGGAGCGACCTGGTGTGGTGGGACGTCCCCCTGCCCAGCCCAGAGCATTCCAGGATGGGATCCTTGGGGGTAAATCCTTCCCCTGGCAGACTGGCATGGCCTAATTCCATGGATTCCCCATCCCTGTGAGTGCCCAAGGCCGGGCTGGACGGGGCTCGGAACCACCTGGAGTTGATGATCCTGAAGGTCCCTTCCAGCCCAGCTCAGCCCATCCCATAAATCCCCTACAAGGGCTCAGCATTCCTGACTCCAAAGCCTCCAGCCCTCTCTGTTTCCAGCCCCTTCCATGGAATGGGGGGGGGGAAATTTTGTCCCAATTTTTCTCTCTGCGTGTTTGGGAATCGGAGCTCGGAGAAACCCTCCTGACCCCCCCCCCCCCGGAGGTGTTTCCAACGCTCCAACACTTCCAGGAGTGTCCCCAAGTCCCTGAGAGGTCATGGAATTATCAGTCCCACGCCCTCTGATAGCTCCTGGGTGGAGCTGCCCAAGGCAAACACGGGAGTTTCCTCCGGGAACTCCGGGAAGGGGAAAAAATACTCAGATATCCATAAAAAAAAACCCTCACCTGAGAGGGAATCTCATCGGTCCGGGGATACAGCTCATCAATCCACACACATCTCTCAGATATCCATGGAAATATCTCTCAAACATCCATGGAAATGTCTCTCCAATATCCATGGAAATACCTCTGAAATATCCCTGGAAAAATCTCTCCAATATCCATGGAAAAATCTCTCCAATATCCCTGGAAAAATCTCTCCAATATCCATGGAAAAATCTCTCCAATACCCATGGAAAAATCTCTCCAATATCCATGGAAAAATCTCTCCAATATCCATGGGAATATCTCTCCAATATCCATGGGAATATCTCTCCAATATCCATGGGAATATCTCTCCAATACCCATGGAAATATCTCTCCAGTATCCCTGGAAAAATCACTCAAATATTTGGGATTTGAGCCCCTTTTTCCTGGCTTTTCCCCCCTCCCACCTCTAAAATGGAATATCCTGCGCTCAAAGTGAGGGGGGGGCCCTTTGATCCATCTTTTCCCACCCCACCCCCCCTTTTCCCAGATATTACTACAACAAGAGGATCCTCCACAAGACGAAGGGCAAGAGATTCACCTACAAGTTCAACTTCAACAAGCTGGTGATGCCCAACTACCCGTTCATCAACATCCGGCCCAACGGTGAGTTGGGGGGCCTCGGAATTCCGGCCCTTCGGAATTTCCAGGGGCTTCTGCAGGCTTGGGAATGCCCCTGGGAGCATCAGTGCTGCTGATGGGGGGGGGGGGGGGGTTAAAG